GTAGGATGGCCTGAAACTTCACACGACTGTCTGATGCTAAAATAAAAGTTCGGGCGACATAGTGCTAGTACAACATAGTGAAAAAAAGTAGCGCGAGAGATCCGTTCAAGATAGACGAACCTGTAAGTCAGTACAGTTCTTTGTGTCCCCACTTTTTCTGGTGTTCTCTTTTTTAAACAGACAGACAGACAGACAGACAGACAGACAGACAGACAGACAGACAGACAGACAGAGACAGACAGACAGACAGACAGACAGACAGACAGACAGAGACAAACAGAGACAGACAGAGACAGACAGAGACAGACAGACAGAGACAGACAGTTTAGCAGTACATGAGAATTCAGGGATTTTAAATAGGCCATTTTTAAATCCCACAGCGCAGCGGGGAGCACAATGGAAAAAGTTGGTACGCCGAGCAAAGCGGCGTTTCCTCCGTCCGCTGCTCGTTGGCGCCGTGTGAGCACAAAACAAAAATAACATGCCATCGCTTCATGAATAGGGTCCGAACACACCGGCACGTATAGCTACGCATGAAATGTGAAATGAATAACGCAGTCAGCGTTGCTATCACTGAGTGGGTGTACATCCAACGTAAAAGATGAGCGGCATGCGATTTGTTGCGTAGTGATCCATGTAGTCAAAACATGCTACCGTGAGGAATGTTAGCTGGAACACTGAATTCATAGTTAATGAACGATGAACTGCTCATAAAGCGCTAGGGATTTTGTAGCCAACTGAGCCGAGCTTGGTTAACCTCCCTGCCTTTCCTGTCTATTTATCTCTCTCTCTTGTGTCATCGCAGTTTGATTGGGCCGTTAACAAACGATGGCAGAGAAGTGTTACAGCTTAGAATTTTTTTAAACTTTTATAGAAGGTCACGTGCTGAAAATAGGAAAAGTAAACACATTCTCAACCTGTTTAAAGACGAAGGAATGGAACTAGAAATAACGTGCGAGATACCTTGCTCTGATCCTTTGCGGTGGAGAAAAGTCCGATTAGTTTGGGTGCCTGGACATAAAGGCTTATTTTTAAATAAAATGGCCGATTCCTTTGCTAAGTCGTAAATTAGCGAACGATTCTACCGTACTGTCCATCATCCGCTTATGTGACTGCTGCCCGATTCCGCAGACGTACGCATATGGAAGTCTTTAGAGGTACAGCACTAAGAAACTCTACCAAATATCGTTATTTATAATATCGCTGGTGAGGACACTTTTGCCGCACTCGTAAACAAGAAGTAGCTATCACAAGGCTGCATTGCCGGGTACCAAATCTAAATTTCTATAAACACAGGTCTGCTCAGGCATTTTCGCCATTGTGCACGTTCTGTGATGAACATGAAACAATAGGTCATTTCTTTTTGACCTGCAGGTGGTTTAACACATTACGAAAAACCCTTTTAGAAATATCTTTACGTTGTATTGGTATGGACTTATCTGTACCTGTCATTTTGTCTTTTGGAACTTCCATTTCTAGGTTCTTGAATGTGACAGTATATATATGCGCGGCCATGCGGGAATATATTGATGGAAAAATGGGTTGACTAATTAATCTGTTTCATTATCCTAACGTGTCTACAAAATTATATACATATAAAATCAGAATATTCCTCTATTCTAAGAATAAATTCGTTTTTTTATTGACATATTTTTATGCATTAGATCAAGCACTACACTTTCATAGGTTATCGGTAATCTTTCTATTATATATCCCTTATTTTAAATCTGTACAATAATTTTAAAACCACTCAATCCTTGGCCAACTCCTCATAGTGGGTATGCACCACGATCAATAGGTGAACAAAAACAAGAATTTGCGGTTTCTTACAAGATGCTTAAGCGTTTCTGCGGAGCATCTTTGCTGGCAGTATATTCCGCATTGAGACCACTGCTGAATTTCGCGCTGGCGCATTCAAATATTGCTCAATGAGGAATAATGATGTCGTACTTGCACTCGGTGAAGAAAAAAAAACTTGTGCACGTTACCTGAGAAATTGTGTCCAGCTTCAAAAAGGCGCGATATCCTGCCTATATATAATATTGCATGGGTTTGGGAACAGCTCATTCGCACTGCAAACAAATTTTTTTGGACGACCTCCACCCGCAAAAAAACTAAGAATATTGCAGTTATTTCATGCATACGTTCTTTACAGTCTGAAAGGAAATTTGGAAGCGATACAAGGTGAGGGTTGGGTTTACCGCGCCATGAACTTAGTAACATTTCTTCCGCACAGCGCAAAAGGTCACAGGGGTCTGCAGTGGGCAGAGAAAAATACTATGGAAGGCGTGTCGATTGTTCTTTGCATTGTTGCGCAAGAGTTGCCAACCGAATTACTCTTGTATTCACATATATAAATCGGTCAGACTGGATGTATCAACACGTGCCTCACAGAACACCAGAATTCGTTGAATGAAGCCATCTTACCGCACCTCAGATTTTCAGTGATGCAAATGTAATTTGATCTTTGAAGGCCCGGTAATCTTGCACAGTCACGCTAACCAGAATCTCGGATACATATCATAAAGAGCACCACACCTTGTTTAAGTCAACTAACCTTCGCTATCGTTACAACACAATAAAAGTTAACTTTACTAATCTACTGTAAACACGCGTCTTAGTTGTTTGCCTTTTTTGTGACATGCGCGATGCATCCCCATTTTCTTGGATATGTTTTTTCACACGTGCGATAACTTTTCAGTAGGCAGTGAGCGTTTCCGATGTGCATATTTCTTTCCTGGTAGTACTTCTTTCTTTTCACATTATAAGTTTTACACCAACCTGCAGTTACGCCAAGGACGGTTGGTACGGGCAATCGCAGCGGCTACTGTGGCGGACCAACTTTTCCCGCTGCGCTTGCGCGCCCGTCGGCGGTGCTAGTGAGCTTGAAAAAGATCTATTGATAACTACCTTCAGTTACCTTGACAGCCTAATACTAGCCTACATCAGGAAGCAGTGGCCAATATTACGCAACATTACCCAACCTAACGCAATGGCGCAGGTGTGTGTGTAAATATAAAGTAGCGCAGCAACATTCCCCTTACGTAACTTGGTCACGTAAAACAAACATACTGCTACTTCACGCTATTTGATCTGCACCCAAAACGAAGTACGTGGTTGTTTTTGCGCACTTGACCCTAACCAAGATGCCGCCGCCAGGGTCGAAGAATGGCATTGATTGGCGTCATCGAGCTATGCAGTGCGAAACCTTGACCGTTCATCTAAAACATTACCAACAAAAAAAAACAGTCAGGAACCATCCGACCTGCAAAGTGATTCAATATCGCTCCAAGGCCTAATCTTATCGCAGGTAAAAAATAAAGATTCCGTGCTTGAAACTGGGGTTTGTCAGTACTTATTAGTTCCACTTCACTTTTTCGATATAAAAATTTCGACCTATAGCGTAGTGTCCAGTCTTTCCTGTGCTATAACTTTTCTGCCGCCTTCGTCAAATTAAAGAAAAGAAACAGGGGTCATGTAGCCATAAACCAGAGATAAATGCGTTAAGAATGAATTTAGTTACATCTAATTATCTTCTATTAGACTGATAACGGGTATTAGAGGACAGTAGTCAACGTGAGCTAACCTTAACGCAATATTATACAACTGTTGGTTTGGTATGAAGGGTTAACGGGGTTTAACTTCCCAAAACCACCATATGATTATGAGAGCTATACGTCGTAGTGAAGGGCTCCGAAAATTTCGACAGCCTGGGCTACTTTAACGTGCACCCAAATCTGAGCACACTGGCCTAGAGCATTTTCGCCTCCAACCAAAATACAGCTGCCGAAGCCGGAATTAGATCCCGTGACCTGCGGGTCAGCAGCCAAGTACCTTATCCATTAGACCACCATGGCTGGACAAAATATATTAGGCAACTGTGCTAGTCGACATATGACAGGTCAACGATGAGCTATATACTAGCCACTTTTAGACAAATTCGGCTATTTATTTCCTTGTTTATTTATGTCGAGGCCCGGCATGAAATACGCAACGTGATTCGTTGCAGACTAGAGGGTGCGAGTTCGAATCCTGTCCACGGATGCAGCACTTTGATGGGTGCTAAATTCAAAAAGCACCTGTGTGCGTAAATTTACGGGCACATAACGCTTGCTAGTCTATATTAAGTCGAACATACTATAGTGTGAAGCGCTCTGATTTCACGTGCGAAAGCCTTATGATTATGACAGACGGCGTGCACGTCTCTAGTATATTGGACAATCTGAGGTTTTTCAACTAGCTCCTAAATTTAAATACACGGGACTTTAGCATATCGTCTCCACAGAAAATGCGACCGGGATTCACTCCCGCGACCTTCAGGTCAACAGTGAAAAATTATATCCACTAGAGATCGAACCAGTGTGACTGTCGCCGCTAAAAAGTAGAAATTCAGTGGTCGTGTAGAGATGTTGGAATTACTATGAATGATGTCTAATTAGTTTCGATTTTTCGTAGCCGACAATAATGAAGAATAGGTAATAGCAGCCAATATCACGAAATTGGAGACGCCGAGCAAACGTGAGACAACCTCAAGCTAGCGGCCGCATTCGAACCGAATCGTACACAGTTCCCACACCGTTTTAACCCTTCCTGAAGCTAAGAACACCCGACGTGGTGGCGCTTGGTTTCACGGTACTCGACTGCTGACCCGAAGGAGGCGAGATAGAATTTCGGCAGCATTCGGTGGAAAGTGAGAGGCCCGCGAAATGTAACGTTAAAGAACCGCGGGCGCTTTCCTCATAACCGTCACGCGGGGATTCTGAAACGTAACCTCGAAGGAATGACTTTTAATACGATTAGCTATCTGTAAGTGCTTTTAGTTACCTTCATAAACAGCAATAGCGAAGACTTGGTAATTATAGCTATTATTACGCAATATTAATAAATGAGTAAGTACTGTAGGACGTATCTGCCACCTTCACACAAATAAATACACTTTTTTTTCCTGTTATGACCTCTCCTAAAGCTGGCATATCAGGAGAAAAGTGAAAGGCACTTACCTTCTACGATGCGCCTGGAGTAGACATACCGGAGGTACGCCTCAAACACGCACCAGACCGTCGCCAACGACGCCGTTACGCAGACGACGGCCGTAACAGCGTCCATAGCGTCAGAGAACAATAGCGACGATAGCAACAGCGTCTTGACACGTCGACAATGCGCTCTTTTTGGTAGTCTTTTTCAGTGGGACGGGAGGAGGCTTCGACTGCAGTTGTCGGGTTGAACAACAGTGTCCCGATGGTTCGATAGCAAGGTCTACGGCGCTATCAGCGCCAATGGATGGACTGTTTTATCGCCAATGCGCCATGTTTCTACAGCATGCTATCTTCATCAGCATGCATGCGCGGACACAAACACACCTTTTCTCGGTATTTCTTTCCTTTTTGTTATTTTGCCACGCGCTGATTTTTCTTTGATGGGCTTATGCATACTGATAAACAAGCCATGAATGAATCTCGATTGCATGGCTTGAAAGCAAACACGCGAATAGCTTATCAATGTCTACAAGTTTCTAGCGCACTTTCTTTTCTTGCATCGGAAACCTCCACGAGGATTCTTTTCTTTTCTATTTTTGTTGAGACAGTCTATGGAAAGTTAAGTTCCTATACTCATGACATACAGCAATAGCACAAAAAGAAAGTCAGAACATAAGTGAATCAATTACTTGTCTTTTACGTGCCAATACAGCGATACAGCGATGTAATTTAGAAGCTTGACGTAGTGGGAAATTCTGAATTAATTTCGACCATCCGGTGTTCTTTAACGTGCACCTACAAGTTTAAACGAGTGTGTGTTTTTTTCTTTGTTTTCACTTTATCTGAATGCGACCGCCGTGGCTCGGATTTAAACCCGCGCTCTCGAGCACGCCATCTTAAGTGCTAACTAGCTATTACAAGAGGTAAGAAAACAAAAGTAAGAAGAAAGAAAACGGGGAGCAGAGACTGAGCGAAGACTGTAGAAAACATTTGCAAGCTTTTCGCTTGTGTAAATACGAAGACAATGAAGTTACTCGTGGTGTCAGTACACGAGACAAAATAGACAAACGAGTCAGCGAAGTGTCAGTCCCGCACACGCATTGGCTGAAAAAAAAGATAAGTCAGCAAACAGAAAACAATATGAGTACCAAATCCTTTCTTACAGCCTATATAGTGAGAAAAATAACAACGTTCCTTTGCTTCACAAATCAGGCCGTGTGCGCATGGGCCGTATACGTGTTAAGTGCTGCAAAAAGTAGTCGTCGGAGTGCACTGTAGTCGTAGTAAACAGTCCGAAGTCCGCACTGAACACGTACGCACGTATATATACTGTCCCACTTGTTTCGAGCAAACCCGGCAGTGGTGGCGTGATACGCGGGCGTATTGCGAGCGAGCACGCTCAGAAAGCGTGACTAGAGGGCACGTGATGTCCCTGCGCAAGAGGCAACAAATATACACATTTTGGTTTTTGTACGACGAGAGCAGTAAGACGGCACAAGAAGACCCGATTGGCACTCATTTATGACGTACTTTTTTGTCATAACTGTCGATTGATAAATAGGCTGGAATATCGTAGGAGAAACTTTATTTTGAAATAAGCGCTCATCTCGTTATTGGGTTTCTTCTTGTGCCGCTGTCTAATTGTTTTCGTCGTATTTGTAGGAATGCCTAGAAACTCACCTGAATTTAAGCTATAAAATATCATTGTGCTGAAGTTACTCAGCGTACTATAGGGAGCTTGCATGAACGGCGGCGACGCTATGCACTCTGGGTAGGCAGCCATTTTTGTGTTAGAGGTGGCGGGGCAGTGCTGAAGTGCAGTCGTGCTTGCGAGCGTGCGTAGCTTGCAGGTGTGATCGAGAGCAAGCACGACGAAAATTTAACTGCAAGGAGTGTCGTGCGCGATGTCAGCCTCACTGAAAGACTACACCGTAACGCTGTGCCAGAAAGAGCTCGAGCGGTACGGAGAAGAGGCGAGAATTTGCTGAGCGGACCCATTCACGCTTCGTGCGGGTGACTGTGCACATGTAAGTGACGTGGATTTGTGGCCGCACATCTACAGCTCCGATATTCACAAATGTCTCGTTCTGAGGACGAGTTTGATTACCCCGGAGCGCTTGAAGTCGAGAAAGGTCCCCTAGGGCCACCACTTTGTGACTAGCGGTTGGGTGTGGGAGCCGTGGTTGAAGAAAGAAAGAGGGCACAGCATGCAGGCCAGACTTGGTCTCTGTCGCGGTAGGTGTTCTGTGGTTGCGTCGACTTCGTTGAGCTGTTTCGTGGGAACGTTTGCTTATATTCTTTTTACGTGCTTACCACAAGTTTAAACGTTAGCCGTGGATACAGCTCACCGCTACCCCTACAATAAGAATGTTTTTTTAAGCGGTAACGACAATCTCAGTGCTGTATACGTATGTTACAATGCGGGTCTTCCGAGAGAAATGAGAGATGACCTCGCACCCGACGGTGTTCTTTCGTGAGCGATGGCAGTGGCTGTTGGTGTCACGGCAGCTCGATTACTTGAGTGGAGGAACTAGCTCCACCGTGCACATATTTACTATAACATTATAGCATGCTGTGCCACACATGCTTCTCTGCTCCATATGGGTTTCGTGATTCACCTCGCATGTTAACTTGCGGTCATTGTACGTGCCACAATTTTGTTGTTAGCGCTGTGGCTGTGATCGTTACTATTACTCTGGATTTAGAATACTCTTTCCACAAAGGTGAGTGAGAGCGTTAGTACTTACCTGCTGTGCCCAGCTGTTACTAGAAGCGCATTTTGTGCTGAGTTTCTCACGAAAAAGAAGAATCATGTGAACGAGAAAGGTATACTGCACGCGTGCACAATTCCATCCAAACTCTCACTGTTCCCATGGGCAATTCAAAACGCATGTGATTGAGAATTTGGTTTAACTGACAGAAGCCATTCATTTGCTTTTCAGAAAAGTGTAGTTATGATGACGTTTAAAATGTTTTTCAGGATTGCAACCCAGCCTGGCAAATAAACGCTCGGTGAAACTTTGCAGCCTGCTTCCCTTTGTGCTTTCACCTTCCGTGGTAGCATAGCCTCATTTGGTGTCGTGTGACTATGCTGGAGTGCGCAGGTTCACCTCCCGGCCACGGTGGTCAAACTTGGATGGGGAGAAAGTGCAAAGAAGCCCAATGTGCCTATGTTACGATTCACGGCAAAAAAACTTCATTAAGTCCAAATTCATCCACAGACCCCCACGATGGCGTGCCTGGTATTTTATTGGCGGTAGCGGCGCGTATAACTTCAGCAATTGTATATGATCCTGCTTTCACGCATGGACTGTGCAGTGGTATAACGTTTCCTAGAAGAACTAAAAATTAACTGTGATGCTTTTTTATGCGCCTCATTGAATTTATATTGGTGCCGTACGAAACTAAAAGTGCGTATGCTTACGAAGCATGTCGACACCGAAAAAAAATATTATTTGCGTAGAGTCTAAGGTAATCAATTAAGAAAGACTGTTTAGGGATGCAGAGCTCCTTGTGTTTGTGACAAAATGGTAGTATAAAACAACACGAGACACACACGGAAGTGTGGGGAGCATCATGTGAACGCCTAGTGATAAAAAATCAAGGTTTTTACTCTACACTAATAAAACAAAAGTATAAATGTCACTCCGGCGTTGCTTGGATCAATCGTAGGTAAAAGTAATTGCACGCGACGGGCCGCGGCCGGCTACGCTCGGCGTGCGCATGCGCGCGTGCAAGACCCCGGTAGTTGAGGGGAAACTTGAACACTGAAGGAGAAACGTTGCCATTAAGTAAATACCAACTAGGCCAACAATCAGTATTATTACAATATATTTCTAGTGCAACTGGCCTCTCTTCGTGTGTGTCTTCTCCGGACTTCCTATCAAGCGTCGACATCATTGTCAGTTCCATTGTTGCAACTACCTGCCGTGCAAGATACATCGGTTTCTGCATACGCAAAGGACTTACGCCACCTGAAGTAAGTTCCCTCTTTGGCCATGTTGCTTCTTCTAAGGGCCATAATGCCCGGCTGTGCAAAATTCTGCGTTCAGAATTGTGGAGACAAGTACGCTTACTTCACGACTGGCTACGCATTGTGCACCTGAAGAATGATGTTTCATGGGTAGCGGAAGAGAAGTTAAGAACCTCCAGACGCATCATCCATCATATGACGGAATACTGGTGGAAACAAATCATTGGACAATGTTGTAAAATTAACAAGGACAATAAATCAACGACGAAGTCATCAAATGTGGTAATGTTAGGAAACGTGAGCCTACCGGAGGACTCGGCAACGCTTCTTTCCAAGGGACCCAAGTATTGCATCGATGCCAGTGTTCCTGTGCATGAACTAGCGGCACTTAACAGATATGTGGCTAGTAAAGCCTCAGCAGAGGATAAGGAGAGGTGTCTGTTAGATGGTGTAGATAGCCTGAAAAAATGTGTTTCTGGTACCAGGCAGAGTCATAAAACTGAGGTTATGCGAAAGACAGTAGCGTTGTGTAGGGAAAAGAATATTGTCATATTGGAAGCTGACAAAGAAGGGTGTTTTGTAGTGCTTCCACGAGAAATGTTTAATTTGAAGGCAGCAGAGGCTATAAGAAAGAATTTTGTTCAGATTAAGAAGTCTGAATCAAAGGTTAAGAGTAAGGTTTCCAAGCTATGTAAAGACCTCAAGTTGCAAAAGTTAGCAACAGATATTAGGAAAATGAAAGCTACGGCATTAAACGTATTCTTCAGCGCAAAAACACACAAAGTTGAAGTACCCTTTAGAAGTATAGTGAGTGAACGGGACACATGGCAGCTTTTACTTAGTAAGCACTTACAGAAGGTGCTGAAGTGCGTTAAGATTAAGGACCCCTTCTTCACTAGCAGTTCAAAAGACATAGTGCAGTTCTTGAGAGATAATGAGCACTCGCTCAACAATGGCTTCTCAGTAGATGTGGAAGATCTTTTTTATTCAATTCCACATGATGAACTCTTCTTTGCGGTGAGATCCTGCATAGAAGAAAGTGGCGCCATACCCTTTCAAAATGCGGCTGGTGTAACGATAGACGACTTTTAACTCTGTTAGAAGCCTACCTACGTAGCACTTTTATATCTTTCGACAAGCAGCTTTTTCTGCAGAAACGCGGCATTTGCATTGGATCCTGTATTGCTCCGTTGCTGTGCAACATATTTTTATCTAGTATTGACCGGTCGCTCGATGAAGCTTTTAATCTGCATAGCGCCTTGAACGTTGCCAAAGTTTTTAGGTATATGGATGACTTTTTAATTCTTTTTAACAGACAAGGCTCC